TACATACATACATACATACATACATACATACATACATACATACATACATACATACATACATACATACATACATACATACATACATACATACATACATACATACATACATACATACATACATACATACATACATACATACATGCATACATACATACATACATACATACATACATACATACCTACATACCTACATACCTACATACCTACATACCTACATACCTACATACCTACATACCTACATACCTACATTCGTACATACCTACATACCTAAAACATACGCCTCCTGCTCCTCCGCCATGCTCCTCCGGCTCCTCAGCTTCCAGCGTTGAAGCCGCTTTAATAAATGCGTTATCTTATTTAAATTTGCCGCGCACCAAGACAAATTGGTCTGATATCGGCATACAAGACAATTTACATGCATAAATACATACATACATACGCACATATATACATACACACGCACACACACATTCAGGCACACATGCATACATACATAATTAAAAACACACAAATTTCCCACACCAATCATAACTCGGTGAAATCTTATCCGGTTTCCACGAGGTTTTGTTCTTTATACATGGTTTGGTCCCCTGATCAGCTTGGCACCTAAGTCTGGCAACATTATTCTTGGTCAAAATTTTTTTATTCTCAAATATCCTATATAGACATAGGTCAAAATTTTCCACCCTTATAACTCGGTAAAAACTCAACCGATTTTTATAAGGTTTGGCTTTTTGTTAATGGTTTGGCCCCTTTATCACTTTGGCATTTAAATCTGGCAACATTATTTTTGGTCAAAATTCAAGTGAAAATGGTGCCCTCAAATGTCCTATATAGACATAGGTCACCCTCATAACTCGGTCAAATCTCATCAGATTTCCTCGAGGTTTTGCTCTTTACTTATTCATTTTATAAGTAACACGGGCAAGGCCGGGTTATACCCGCTAGTACATCTATATTGATATAGCCATGTTCATCAGCCTGTTTGTTTTTTTACGGTTATAAGGCTATATTCGTGGATCTTGGCGTTGATCCGTATTTTGATGTATATTAGATCGGACCACTCTGCCATTGGACCACGCTGCCATTGAAACAATCTCAAACTGAGCATTTGTCTGAAATGTGTTTTGTTTTTCGATATATCTTAAGGAAGTCAAGTATATCAACAGGAATAAACTTGGGTTTTTTTTCAGAAAATTATTGTCCAAATTAAAAAATTTGCAAGGGTATTCAATCGATGGTACTCTAATGAGAACCAATCTTCGTTGTTTTTGTATATATCATTTTTAATTATTTTATATATCTCCTATAATGGTACAATTTTTTATTTTAACTTATTGCTGCTGCCAATTTATTGCAATTTGTGTAGCGCACTAATCATTGAAAACAATTATTTATTTATTTAATGCCTAATGCCCTATTAAGCGTTATCTACAGAGCAGATAACCGACACAGAGGTCAGGCTTCGGTAAAACAATAAGTGGCAGTAAATGGCTAACAATAAAACTGTCAAGATGTCAAAGACTGCCGTTTTTGGCTAGAAACGGCAGACCACTAAGCTGCAAATGTCAGAGCCAAAGCCATGGCCAAAAAGCTACGTTAATTGATTCACGCAAAGTCCTGTTGGCAGCAGCCTCTACATTGTATCCAGAATATTCAATAGGCGCAACTTGACATTATATAAATTATGTATATGCTTAATATGGTATACTTAATAGAATATATTATAAATGCCCTTATACACAAATATTGCATGTTACTCGGCGGCACGTACATAAATCAGGCGTATTTTATATGCAAAATCTGCTTGTTGGCAAGAGCCAAAAAAATATGTATTCATGTCCTAAATAAATTATAGTTTACATGTATGTATATCAGTCATCTCATATGAGTGACGATATTAATTACATTATGTATGTAACCTACAAAACGCACTGCAATTTCATTAAATTGAGTAGACCCCCGAATCGATTAAGCATTAATCTTAAATAGTTACCTAAATATTTATTATTCATATTATATTTTCTGTTAAACACATCACAAAAAAAAATCCCTGAGTTTACATAGAAATGGGTAGACCCTACTTAAATATTTGAGAATCGAGAAGGAGGGCAGCCATTAAGCTTAAATAGTTACTTCAACATTTATAATTCACATTATACTTTCAGTTGAAAGTCACTTTTAAACACATTACCAACAAAAAACATGTGAAATTCCATTGAAATGAGCAGGCTTTACTTGAATTTTTGAGAATCGAGGAGGAGGGTGGCCGTTAGTTTTGAATTATAAGTATGACACTTATGAAAGCGTTAATGTTCGTCAGTTGTCGCTTAATATCTTAAGCTCGATTTGCTTTTCCCCTTTTAGATACTCGCTCTCATACTCTCTTCTTCTGATTTACTCTCTTTCGCTCCCTCTCGGTTTCTCTCTCCAAAGCTCTTTCAATCTATCATTATTGTTAGCTTTAGTTGTACATTTTACTTATCTTTACTTATATTAACTCTCGTAACTCCTTCGGCAATCAGTTTCTCCGTTGTCTTCACTCTCTCTTTCTCTTTTCAGCTTCCCAGTCCATCCGTTTCATTATTTGTGAGCGAACCCAATATTTCTCTGTCTTACCCTCTTCCTCTGCGTGTCTCTTCCTCTTTCTTTAAACTTACACCAGCTCTCTTACATTTTCTCTTTGTGTCTAATACTTCCTCTCTCTGTTTAACTCCATTGCTCTCTCTCTCTCTCTTTCTCTATCTCTCTCTCTTTCTTTCTCTCTCTCTTTCTTTCTCTCTCTCTTTCTTTCTCTCTCTCTTTTTCAATATCTCTCTCTATCGCTCTCTCTCTTTCTCTCTCTTTCTCTATCTCTCTCTCTCTTTCTCTCTCTTTCTCTCTCTTTCTCGCTCTTGCTCTCTCTCTCTTTCTCGCTCTTGCTCCCTCTCTCACTCTCTCTCCCTCTCCCACTCTCACTCACTCTCTCTCCCTCTCTCTCTCTCTCTCTCTCTCTCTCTCTCTCTCTCTCTCTCTCTCTCTCTCTCTCTCTCTCTCTCTCCCTCTCTCTCTCCGTCTCTCTCTCTTTACATCTCTTTTTTTGTAAGCTCCGTCTCTTTCTTTCTTTTACGACATTTTGCTTTCACATTTTCTCTCTCTCTCTCTCTCTCTCTCTCTCTCTCTCTCTCTCTGTCTCTCTCTGTCTCTCTCTCTCTCTCTCTCTCTCTCTCTCTCTCTCTCTATTTCTCTCTCTCTCTCTATCTCTCTCTCTCTCTCTCTCTCTCTCTCTCTCTCTCTCTTACTGTTGCATTCTCTTAGCCTGCGTTTTTTTTACTTTCCTTTTCTCTCTTACAACCGGACTGTAGAGAGACAAGTCGAGTGAAAAATCAAACTTTCGAATAGAGTTAACAGGCTGTTGACAACAACTGCGAGGAAAGAATGTATTCAATTGTGTTGCGGTGTGGGTTAACAGGGCGTATGATTAATGCATCCAGAGTTGGCATTTGCCTCAGTGAAAATCAATTAATTAAGCAAGTCTAAAGGCAAGGAGGAAAAAGGCATGCACGTGTTCTCATGAATGAATCAACGAACAACGCGAATGAATGAACGAATGAATGAGTGTAATGACTCTTTCATTAGGCATTCGAGCGTGAATAAAGCATTAACTACCCAGAGAGTCAGGCAGATGAACGGGCAGCTAACCTGACAGTTCTGGCTGGGAATCAAAAGCGAGCCAGCTGCATAAATTTCCATTTAGGCAAATGTGACAAACGGAAATTGCAATCGACGCTGCGCAACGCTCTCAACAGCATTTGAGCTTCCTGTGCAGCAGCAGCAGCAGCAGCAGCAGAGGCAGCGGCAGCGGCAGCAGACGGGGAATTCGCCAAGGACCTGCTCCTGCTGCTCACTTTATTGGCATTTCAGCATTCAACATGGGCACAGATGGTTTAATAAATGATGAACACGTTGAAGCACATTGAAATGTAATTCATAACGGAGCAAGCGGATGCCTGGCTGTGCAGCATACACATATGAATGTGTACGTGTATATAGAAATACAACCCATGCTGTGTTTCGTCCTTATCGCACGATGATTCAATTATAAACCAACGCCAGCTACATGTAATTAAGTTACGTGCGTTGACAGAAAGACGGATAGAAAAACCATACATTCAATTATACCAAAGATTTAACGGCAGGTCAGTATTAGTTTGTATAACCAGAATCTAGGAAATCGAATACTCTGACATACAAATGCGTTTAAGGTTCGAATCAATGCGGTTTGTAAAGCTGATTACGGTTTGGGGTTGACTCGTTTATTGGAAATTAATTTGGTTAAATTTGGCCAGTTTTAGTTGAATAAACAAAATTTATGAAATCGAATAATCATGTTATCCAAAAAGCTTGTCGGTTTTTCGATTAAACGTTCGAACCAGCGACCTGCCTTGAGGTTAGGTGCATGCGCCTCTTTTTGGTTTAAGGTACTGCTTTGTTTTTTTGATTAAAGGTTCAATTTTAAGAACTAATTCTTTTACATGTATGGTTCAAAATGAAATCGAAACAATTCGTTTTAAAAACTTGACGTACACACAATATGAAAAAATACACAATTATTTTTAGAATATATATGGGAATACGAAACGCAACTATTTAAGAACCATAACACACGTGAAAGAATACCGTTAGGCATCCAATGGCAGGGTAGGCTGGGCGCCTGGTAGAACCGTAATTAACTGGCCCGACAATTGAGATTGTTGATAATAAGGCATTCAATTCAAATGGATCACAAAAATACTCATCCAGCCCAGGCTCGGCGCTCCTTTTTTCTGCATAAGGACGATGGAAGCAATTTAACTCCACAGCAACAGCAACGGCGTAAAATTCTACATTATGTGTACTTAAGTCTTAAGCTGACGACATTTCTTGGAATTTGGTTGTTCTTTACAATATCTATGATTATCGCGCCACCGAATGAACATATTAGTAAACTGATACCCTTAGAGTCCCAAATAGCGTATGTTATGGTGGTCGATCAGGAACCGGCCCGTGATGAGATATGCATTTATGTGAAAGGTAACATCGATGCGGATATCACATATAATCCCAAATTGGCAAAAGAATCACAAAAATATATAATCGTTACTGCACAAACCTTTAATGTGAAGTCAAATGCATCTGAATGGAAGTCAAAAGAATGGAAAGTCTATTTATACGATGATAATGAAAAGCCCATGGAATTGGTAAAAAAGTACTTTCAACTTGAGCACAAGCACAACAAAATGTTGAATTTCAAGGCGCTTGGAGTAGAGATGCGGGCTGATTCCGATGTTCAACTACAGGTGACACTGCTGAATGGCAACACTGATCCAACTGCAGTCGCTTTGAGCGTCGACTTCGATCCCCTGAATGAGAATGCTGGCGTCATTGCAGCCGCTGTGCTACTTATCTTCCTCTACGTGCTCATCATTTGGGATATTACGGATCGTACATTTGCCGCACTTTTTGTGGCAACGGCCTCCATCGGAGTACTTTGCATTATGGGTGAACGACCCTCAATGGCTGTAGTCATTTCATGGATAGATATGGATACAATGATGCTACTGTTTGGCATGATGATTTTGGTAGCAATTATTGCAGAGACCGGCATATTTGGTTATGCGTCCGTGTGGGCCTATCGTATATCGAAGGGCCAGCCCTGGATGCTGTTGTTCCTGCTCTGCTTGCTGACCGTTGTGCTCTCCGCCTTTCTGGACAATGTCACCATTCTGATGCTAATGGTGCCCATTGTGATACGATTGTGTGAATGCATGGACTTGCGTACCACAACTGTGCTCATCGTTGTGGCCATATTCTCGAATATCGGCGGCGCCCTCACGCCCGTTGGCGATCCGCCGAATGTGATAATTGCATCGAATCATTATGTTCTTGAGGCAGGCATTGACTTTTGCACCTTCGTTATACACATGCTGCCGGGCGTGGTTTTAAGCCTTGTCGCTGCTTGGGGCTACATATATTTGGTGCTGCGCAATGGATTACAGAAAGGCGGCGCCGATCAAATGCGCGAATCCATTAATAATCTGGCCAAAACAGCGGCCGTATTGCGTGAAACACCCAGCGAGGCGAAACTGCGTCGCGAGATACTAGAGCGCATCGAAGAGCTAAAGGAACGTTATAGACGCAAGCCGTCCCCACAGACGGGTTCGCAGCCGACAACGAATTTCATTGAAACACTGGCCGAGATGCAGGCCAAATATAAGGTGGAAGATAAGCCGCTGCTTATCAAATGCTGCATTGCCCTAACCTTTGCCGTGCTACTCTTCACGCTGCACTCGCTGCCATTTCTGGAGGGCGCAACGCTGTCCTGGGCCGCCTTCTTGGCAGCGCTGCTGCTACTCATATTGGCCGATAAGCGGAACCTTCATTCTATCCTGGCGAGCATCGAGTGGTCGACTCTGCTGTTTTTTGCCTCACTTTTTGTCTTCATCGAGGCCTGCGCGGAGCTGGGCCTCATCGATTGGGTGGGCAATCGCACAATTGCGGTTATTGTGAGCGTCGATGAGAAACATCGTCTACTCGCGGCAATTATGCTTGTGCTATGGATCAGCGCCTTGTTCTCAGCTTTTGTCGATAATATACCCATTGTCACCATGATGCTCAAACTGGCGATAAAGCTGGCCCTCAACGAGGAGCTGAAAATGCCCTTGCTACCCTTGATATGGGCGCTCTCGTTTGGCGTATGCTATGGCGGAAATGGCACACTGATTGCCGCCTCCTCCAACGTGGTGGCAGCTGGCATTGCCAATCAGTATGGCTATAAGATTACCTTTTTTGAGTTCTTTAAATATGGCTTTCCTGTTATGATTCTAACTGATATTATAGCTGCAATTTATCTGATCATCGCAAATGGACTCTTGCAATGGCACTGAACTGAAGATGAGCACTGAACCTTCATTGAGCATTCAAAAAAATTATATAATGAAAAGATGACGAGCTGTTCCCACTGTTCCGCTGTCTCACTGGCTGGCGAAAACTTTCGTTGCCCCATTTTTGGTTTGGCTCTCAGCTGACAAACTTTATTATTTCGCTGAAAACTTTTTAATGACAAAATCAAATTGCCGCAGAAAGTTGCAAGCATGGCAGAGCAACGAGAAAAAGTCTAAGGATGAAAACGGAACTGTCCCAAAAAAACTCGCTGATAAATAATAATTGGATATTTACCAATGGGAAGAAATCGTGGAGCAGCAGTGCGTTAAATGACTTAAATATGCGGAACTGTGCAGCAATTGAACACCAATTCCATAATGGAGACTGCAGCACCCGACGCCCCATTCTCCCCGTCTGACAGACAACATTTGCGTCCGACACGTGTCGGTCAGCCTCAGTTTCCATTGCCTTCCTGTCCAGTGGCATCAAGGGCCAATTGACTTGTGGACGGAATAACTTTGACGTGAGCACTGGTCATGACAATGCTGTGCCTCAGTTGATGTCATGCTAATGTCTGTCATACAAAATTCGATGCATGACACATAAAGTTGCCACAGTTTAGATTTGCAACACAGCAGCTAAAAAGCCTGCTTCCCGAAAAAGTGAATAGTCATGAAGAATAGAGTAAATGGGGAAAAAGCGTCGAACAAATCGATTGCTGAATTTTAGCAAACTAGGAATAATAATAATAAGAATAATAACTATAAATATAATATTATTTACATTAATAATTTTATTTTTAATTTATTATTTTTGTTATCATTATTCTAATATTAAATAACAGAATTAATATGACAAATAATGATAATACTAGAAAATAAATAATGTTTAAAATGCAAGTGTTGCCGAGTAGGCCTTCGCAGTCCGTTGACAACTATTAATTTGATCCGGCGACCTATTGGTTGCTAGTTCGACGCCAATCAGTATTAACACCAAAGGCTTTGGCTGTATCAATACGAGATTTGTATCTCGTTTCTGCAGATATCTTGACAAAACTATGCAGAGGATAAGATGACTATCATATATATAATTTGACATTGAAATTTTAGTCAAACTTATGTACATCTTTTTTTTAACATCCCAAAAAATTCAACAATTGTGAGCTTGAAAATTAAGATGTATGAAAATAACGTTATGTATTAAAGACGAGAAATATATTGTACAGCTGTTAGATGTCTTCGAGGGTATGTACTTGTGTACATCTTTTTTTTTAATATCCCAAAAAACTCAACAATTGTGAGCTTCACCATGCTCCTAGCATACGTTGAAAATTGCATCACCTCTCACAGAACCAACCTGTCGAAAATTAAGATGTATGAAAATAACGTTATGTATCAAAGTCGAGAAATGTATTGTACAGCTGTTAGATGTCTTCGAGGGTATTAAGAGGTCTACCTGTTAAAATTTAAAAGGTTTTTTTTTCGTTGCTCATTTTTTTTTTCTATAAAATCTATAAAAAAAATCTGGAAAAATTCAACCAAAGGCGGCTGTGGGGGTCCAGTTGGGTTGGGTTGGGTGCCCGATATATATTTAGATTTTTTAATTTCTCTTAGCTTAACATTTGCTTCATATGGCTGCTTTGGGCCATATAACGGCTGCCCGCCGTTCCTACACAGATGATTACACCGAGCTCAACGATGAGCAACTTCGTCGGCGCAACATTTTAAGGCGTGTCGGCACGAATGTCAAGATAACAATATTTGTAATCCTCTGGATATACTTTACAGTATTCCTGATCAAGACCACACCGCACAAGCCACAGGATATGGTTGTGCCCCTACAGTCACAAAGGGCGCATCTGTCAGGGCTACGAGATAAACCGAATGGCGATGAAATCACCATTACATTGTCGGGTCCCGTCGATGAGGATTCCACATATAATCCAAAAATCGCAACCGAAACACAGCCCCGCATCATAGTGACAGTGGAGAGGTTTGATCAAGCGGCAAACAAGACTGCTTGGAAATCAAAAGAGTGGAAAGTCATTCTATTCGATCCTGACAGCTCAAAGGTCGGCAAAGTTAAGAAGTATTTCACCTTGGAGACCAATACCAAGCAATTAGATTCATTTATACGCACTGCACAAATGAGAATCGATTCCGACACTGATTTGCAGGTATCGCTATTGAATCTTCATAACGAGCCAATGGCCGTATATCTGAGCATTAACTCGAATCCGATGAACGCGAATTTGGGCGTAGTGTGTGGAATATTGCTATTAATTTTCCTCTACGTGCTCATCATTTGGGATATTACGGATCGGACACTTGCCGCCCTCCTGGTGGCAACGGCCGCCATTGGAGTGCTCAGCATGCTGGATGCTAAGCCAGCACTGGATACGATAGTCTCATGGATCGATATGGAGACCCTAATGCTACTCTTTGCCATGATGATTATGGTTTCCATACTAACCGAGACGGGCGTCTTTGAATTTATGTCCGTCTATGCGTATCAGATGTCAAAAGGTAACGTTTGGAGGCTCCTGTTCTTTTTGTGTATGTTCACGGGCTTTCTATCCGCCTTCCTGGACAATGTGACGATGGTATTGTTGATGGTGCCAGTTACGATACGTCTGTGTGAATCATTGGCATTGAGCACCACTGTGGTGCTTATTAGCATCGCGATCTTTGCCAATATTGGTGGATCGCTGACCCCAGTCGGGGATCCACCCAATGTGGTTGTCGCCACCGATCCGTATGTGCAGCAACATGGCATCGATTTTGGTACTTTTATAATCCATATGTTTCCCGGTGTCTTTCTGTCTATGATCTTTGGTTTCATTATTCTATATTTACTGATACGAAAAAAGCTCTTTGCCAGTAATACAGCAGCTGATATGCGCGCATCATTAGATAAGCTTCAAAGCCAGGCAAATAGGTTGGGTAACGAAAATACCCACAAGTCCCAAAATGTGGCCAGGCGCATTGAGGGGCTGCAGGAGCGTTTAAAAAATCCGGATAACAACCCAGAGAATGTGGACTTTCAGAAAACACTATCGGAAATGAAAGCAAATTGCAAAATTAAGAATAAGCCGCTGCTAATCAAGTGCTGCATTGCGTTCACCTTTGCCATTCTGATGTTCTTTTTGCAATCCCTGCCAGCATTTGGAGGTGCCACACTGTGCTGGGTTGCGATGTTGGCGGCGATCCTGCTGCTGATCCTGACCAATAAGCCGGACATTGATGTTGTGCTAGAGGGTGTCGAGTGGGGCACTCTGATCTTCTTTGCCGCACTCTTTGTGCTTATGGAGTCAGTTGTTGAATTGGGCGTGATCGATTTTGTGGGAGAACTGACTATCGGAGTTATCATGGGTGTTGGCGAGAGTCATCAGCTGATGGTGAGCATTCTGCTGATTCTCTGGGTGAGCGCTTTGACATCCGCCTTTGTGGACAACATACCCCTAACTACCATGATGCTTAAGCTGGTTATCAAGCTGGCCAACAATCGCGATCTTGGTCTATCATTTCCACCCCTAATTTGGTCCCTTCTATTCGGCGCGTGCTTTGGAGGCAATGGAACACTAATTGGCGCTTCCGCGAACGTAGTAACTGCCGGCATTGCCCATCAATATGGCTATCATATAAACTTCAAAGGCTTCTTTATCATCGGATTTCCCATAATGCTGGCAACGATGTTGGTGGCCTCCATTTACCTCCTAATTGCCCACTGTCTCTGTACCTGGCATGATCCGCCATCCAGTAATTAATTAATTTAAATTACATATCTGTCAGTCTATTAGTCAAATAAAATTTTATCGAACTGTGCAATGACCATTTTATTTTTATTAGACATCATATTGCCAAGAACCTGTGGTTTCTGCGCAGAACCCCATTTTTTCGAAATCGATAAATATCGATTTTCAGCGTAGGTTCTTTGGACATGATATGAATCATCTAATTTGTTATTTAGCGCTCATAAAGCACGCACAGATAATTCGTATTCACATTTTTGGCTATTTTAAAATTCCACTTCGCTGTATGTTTGTACAGGGTATCCTTTAACCGGTCTCTTCCGACTAAATCACTCTTGTTGCAAGTCCAAATCCTATTGAAATTGCCAAACTATTCGAACGTACCTTCTTTTCCATTTCAGCGGTAATTACAAGCAATTTATCTAAGTAAAATCCATTTGGGCCACATAAAATGTGCAAAACATGCGGGCAATAAACCAAACCGAACTAAACTGTTCTCCAGATACCCTAAAGTTTTGTTAGTTATGTAAGTGCTGCTGTCCCATGCCAATCGTCTTGCTGCTTGGTCCTTGCTCCTTGGCCAGTGTGGGCCAATCAATCAAACGCATGTCAATGGGCGGCGGCACAAAAAGGACATAAGCTCCCAAAGTGCACATCTATAAAATCAATAAAAATTTTTTTATTGTGGTTTGTTTGAGTGCACGCCGTCTCATTTAAACAATCAGTCAGCCAAATGCGACTGAAAACTACATTTGTTTGGCTTTCGTTAGTTGTTTTTTAGCCGTAAATTGCAGCTCTCACATGTGTTCCGAGCCTGCTAACTTGGCCATAAATCTTGTTGTGCCAACACAAGATTCCAAAAATTTGCGACTTTCCATAAACAGTGCAAAATTTTATTTCAAATTTTTGTTTCACTTATTGAAGTGGTCAGGGGAAACTTAAATTTATATATGTCGTTGCGATGATTGATGTTCCTCAAGCCTTAAATTGGTAAAACAAACAGTTTTTATCTATATTGTAGTCTGCATTCACCAGCTCTCTGATATGGAAAATTCAAATTTGCCCGGATAAAGTAGTTGATAAATTTCGCATTCTATATCTTACCAAAGCGTCTGCAATGAGTTATACTTCAAAAATAAGTTTGAAGCGGGCGGGATGAAAGTCCTTAAGCTTCATTTGGATGATTTTCATTAATTTTCCAAACTTGCGCGTGGAATTCACTGCAGCCATATCTAAGTGTTCACGTTTCCTCACAAAAGGTAACCTCTGTTAAAGGTAACTTTTTTTTAGCTCTTATGGCATTTATCATCAATCAGTTAGTCAGTCAGTCATAGTTTTATAGAGCTTATGTGGCATTAAAAAATCCTTAATGCAATGCTATATAAGCTGGGAAAGGGTATGACAAGGGCTTACTTAATTACTGACGCGGCTCTAATTCAATTTAACACAAGCAGCAAGCATTTGGCATGATTTTTGGGCAGGCTTTATAATGAAATATTTATGAGCAAAACAAAGGAAAATGGGCAGCTAATGAGTGCCATATTCTCTGACCTCCAGCTATCATTACTCTCTCTCTCTTTTTCTGCTCTTCCCTCTTTTTCTGCCAGTGGCAGGCTCTCAAACAACTGACACTGAGAAATTGCACCCATGAAATTAAAAATAACTCAAGCGAAACGCTTGAAAACAAAGGAGACGGCAATTTATGAAACCGAGTGGTTCTCGAAAAAAAATGAAACCAGCGTACCATTCCAAAAAACAAAAGGTTTAAGTTTTGTTAACCCGAAGACACGTGTGCCATTTTGTTGTTGTTGTTGTTTCGTAAGAACAAAGCAAAAGCAGGCTAAGAATTTGTTAGCCCGTTGATTTATCATCGACAGACTGGGACTAGGACTCGCACTAAGGTAAGGTAAGTCCTCCACCGCATCTAATTCAATAACAAGAGCACGCAGGCATCCAATGGGATGGGGCCCACTGAACGCCAGTAACAAATGCGAGTAAATTGTGATATAAATCACAAAAATTTCCTATGTCGGCAACTGACAGGCGACGCGTCAGAGCCCCCGCAGTTTCGCAATGGAATGCGGCAAAACCGATGCCGAAAATATTTGTTAGAACTTTTCTTTCTTTTTTTTTTTGGTAACTGCCGTAACAAAAATTGAAAAGTAGCAACAAATTGTAAAAAAACAAGTAATTGTACTCTACACGAGAGTGACAGACTAGGAGATACCCTGTGGCCAACTACGAGTTGTGTCAATATAACAATGTGTCACAAACAATATGTCTTCAGCCCTTGGCTTGAGTTGAATAACTTCACTGTTTATGGTCAGATTTATAGGTATTAGTATCAGGGTATTAAATACCGTTTATATACCAAAGTCGATGAGGGGGTAGCGATAGTCAAATAGTTTTTTTTCTTAATTTGTGTATGCTACATGAGAAAATAATACCAAGTCTTATATCTCTGCCTTCTTCCATGTGTTAAACATATTTGCACAAAGCCATTTATATATCCTTTTTACGTAATTTCATAGTTTACAGGGTATTTAAAACACAAACGGAGTTGGGCCGAACCAACAGGCGGTCCCAATGCTTCGTTTGTGGCCAAACGAGGATTATTTGTGGGCTTTTCAAAATAGTTAAAAGTTTGCGTAATTGCAAATGACTTTTAAACTAACTTGATTCAACTGATTGTGCACTAGCTCGTAAAAATAAACTAATAATAAAGCAAAAGCAAACAAATCATTAGTGTTGGCATTTGATAGTAGTTTAATATGCATGCCTTTTTATTAAGATACCCAACTGATCCGTTGATGAATGGCCGTAACATAAATTTTATTGAATTTGCGAAAAGAAATGGCTGAGCAAAAATGCATAAATTGCAATAAATTGTATAAATTGCCATAAATTGTGCCTTGCACAACAGGCCGTATACGTTATATGCACAGAAAATATAATTAAAACTTGCAGAAAGATAAATAAAACACGTATGCGTGTGTGTGTGTATTTCAGAGAAAGCCGCAAGTTTGACAGGTCCGAATTGCAAACTGCAACTTAAATGGACTTTTGGTAAATAGCTAGAAAATGATTTACTAAGTTTCAAAAGTCCAACACAGCAAAATGAAATGCCCGACTTTAGAACGCAAAGATACATATAAAGTTTAATGAATATCCGCACACATATAACATAGCTTTAACATATAATCCACACATCTGAGCACTCAGCTGTGCTGCATATTAAACCGGGCGAGCATTAGAATTCCAAGTAAAATCAGCCGCCAGTGCTGGGAGAAGCTATTCTATCCATATATAATTAAGCACATTTATAACGATTATAATTCCAAATTTATGTACATTTCTAATTAGTATTTGGCATAAATGCAAACTCAAATTGCAATCAAAATTGCAGTTGACCAAATGTCGATTTACGGTTCGAGCCAATTCCTTGAATTTTTGTTTGTGGGCATTGATTTTCACTTGCATGAGCCCAGTTTGTAAATCGAGCGTAGTTTTAATGACTTTTTGCCAATTTTTAAGAAAACAGTTTGGCTAGTTATTAAGAACAATTCTTGTGTTTTGTTTATTTTAAATTAAGTCGGACATAATTGATGAGGTTGTTATAAAATCTAATGATCGTAATTGCACGTTTTACTGAGACCTTTGAAAATATTGAAGTCCTAATGTCAAAGGCTATGAAATATTTTAATACTCCATGTTAGCTGGGATTTTAGAAAACTGCGTAAGCTATTCAAAATGAATAGCCTTGTAGATAGGATTATAATTTTGTGATGAGTTGTATATCGTGTAGAAGAACACATCTCCAACCCCATAAAGTAAATGTATTCTTTATCAGCATCAACTTCCGTCCATCTGTCCATCTGCGAACGAGTCCCGTAGTTTTAAGGCTATCGTCTTAAAACTTTGCACAAGTCCGTCCTTTTCTTGCAGGATATCAAGATATCATGAACAAAATCGGAATTTATAAGTTTCACTATATTATATTATATATATATTTATTATAATCATTATTATATTATTTTATATAGCAGTTATTTTATAACTGCCATAAAAGATAGGTAGTAGGTAGGTTTTTAGATGGCATTCTAATTTTTCAAGATATTTGCACGAAACTCAGCATTTACGAGCTTCTCTCTTCTCACATATTTGCTAGAGTGAAATGCCTACCAATGTCTGCCGAAGATATCCTTACTCTCTCCATTAATTAATATTTTTACTCTAGTTATTTTACAAGCCTTGTGGGCTGGCACGGCGTATGCGTGTTGAATATTCAAAGACGCCGCTGTAGCTGCAGCGTGCATAAATTGATATCATTAAGCATCACTTCAAGAAACTACAACTAAAAGAACTGATAAGAAATATTAAAAAAAGGCAAAAATGGTGCTCTTTAAAAGTGGAAAGCCCAGCAAGGCTTTTTATCAATAATTCCAAAATAAAAGTTGTCTAAACTTTTGCGCTTTTGTGGTTTGGCGCCCCATTTGCATATTCCCTTTAAAGGGAAGTAGAACTTAATTTTGATTTTCAATTTCCGCCTGGGGCCACACACTGCGCAACTGATTCAAGAACTGTGCCGTCTGTGCCCGACAAACGTGACTTGGCCACGTTTGTTGGCTTTTGGACAATTCTCTATGTAAATATGGGAGCATGTCGCATCGGTTTGTCTCTGGCTTGTTTGTTCTATTGTTGCAACTCGGCTTCTGGCAGATGTGGCAACTGCACTAATACTATCAAACACACACACACGGACGCACATAAATAAGAACCGCATGCTGCGTTCTATTATGGGCATAAATTTAGAGCAATTTGTCAGTCCTTGTGCCTCAGCCGGCTTGATGTGCATCAGTTTTAGGCTTGTGCTAGCTTATCCTAATTAAAGATTATTTAGCATAAGTATATTTACGGTACAGTGAAATCTCTACAAACGGACCATGGGCTGTCCTTTTAAGATAGCCCACTCATTTACTACCATTTTTAAAATTTCTGAGTACAAAAACTAATTGTTGAATGAATAATAGAAAAAATGTGTTGTTTGGAAATAGAAAATGTTTTACGAAAAGGTATTGACATTTATTTCAACAAATCGGAGCACTTTTAACAATGTGACGGGCTTAGAGAATATATTTGAAAGAACTTTCTAACATGCGTTAAGGAAACCATTTCAATATTTTTAGTTCTTTAAGTTTGTCCTTTTATTGCCAACATCTGGTGAATGTCAAACTGAAGCTTAAGTACTGCACCTAATTGAGTGGACCGTGGTGTAAGCAGCTCGTACCACACTATGTTACAGAATTACGCTTTAATTAGAAATAACTGGAGAGGCCGAGGGGTGCGGGATGTGAGGACGTGAGGGCGGTAAATTGCAGGGAAGCCGCTTAGCAGTTGCCACTCGATAGCTGCAGTTGGGTTTATTTTTGGGGCTGACATGTGGTGTTGATGTGTGTGTGTGTGTGAGTGTGCTGGCTTGCAGTAGATAGACAAACAAACACACAAAGAGCACAAATCGGTGAACGCATCCTGAGGCGGCGTCTTTAGCCAGACAAGAAGATTGGAAAACAATATGCAGAAAAGTTCATTTGCAATTGAAATCAGAAAGTCAAGTTGGAAATGGAAAAGTGAAAATAGAAAAGCGGCAACTGAAAACAAATGGGCAGGCTATGCCAAGAATTCAAATTAGCTGTTTTTTCAAGCGCATAACGTAACGTTTTCCTTTTCAGATATCAAGTACTTCTCCCCCATGGAATATACTCTATTATTATTCTTTATCCTTGGTTTCATACATGAAGTAAACATGACAAGTTATTTGGGATATTTGGGCTTTTAGAAATGTCTTTGAAAAAAGAATTTCCTATTCAACTTAAAGACCTTCGATTTAGATTGAAATCGATGGCATTTGTACTCGATATGTATTTAAAATTCTTGGATTTTTCTCTTAGTGTGTGCTAATTAAGAACGAAATGAAAGTGTTTGTGGATACGTTAGAAATATTTTGAAATGCGCTGCATAAATTAGAACCGTCACGTCGAGCACAGTGACTGCTGATTGTATGCGCATAAATTGGGCGTTGCCAATTTGGCTGCTGGCTAATTGACTGGACGCATATTATTATTACGATGCTCCCTTGTTTGGCCATAAATTGTTGCGACTGGCCACGCAAAAGTCATGTAAGTTTACACATGGAAGTTGTTGAACTCTTAATTCGAATAGTTGTCAGTTTAGAAATGCGCATAAAATGTTGATTGTCCACTAACAGTGGACAAAGTTCGCCATTAAATCTGAAAATTAACTCAATATTTATGGCTAGCTTTTGCTGAAGTACTCTATATAAAGTGTAGATCGAATATAATAGTAGAAAAGTAGAAGATATCTACAAATTCGAAGGGATATTTGGAATGAAATTGCTAAAAACTGGATTTGAACTTGCTCTTCAGTTCGTCCGTCGGGTAATAATAATACTTCTCAAGAAAAATCTCCCTGTGTCTCGCTTTAAAAGTTGTATAATGAATTTAAGCAAATATAATGTTTGGCTTAAATAGATGAATGCCATTATTCAATTGCGGTGGCAATAAAATATTTCTGATTTGATATTGTGCTTTCAGTCGCAAATTTACCATAAATTTTGAATTGTGTTTACGGTGTTGGGTGGACCATGAAAAGCTTTGCGTTGTGTGTGTTGAATTCTATAATAAATATGATAAATTTGATTTGAAATAAACGCTACAATGGAATTTTTGCTATTTAAATTTAGAATATATTGAATCGCAATCAATATAGTATCTTTAGGGGGTCACACGAATTTAGGGTTGGCTTGCAGAGCATGTAAAACCAACTTAATGTCGGCCCAAAAGCATTAAAGCCTCGGTCCTGAATCTCTTTAGACCGGCCAGCTGCCTGATAGCCCTATGGATATCATTCAGTTCAAAGAGCTATCACAGCGGAATCTGAATCTGACTACGCCTTCTGCGCTGGCAATCATCCGAAAGCAAAACTTAAAGCAATCAAAGCCATCAGAAGAAAAACCCCAAAAGCCCCGAAGCTCAACGAAAACGAATGCGAGCACACAATAAAAAGAAAAAAATGAAGAAAAACAAAGGAAAATAAAGGAAAGCAAGGCGTAAGAAAAATACAATGCAAAACTAAAAACACAGTTAAAGCGTTGCAAAAGTATTGTGTGAGAAAAGAAAGCCGCATTACGCTGTGCCACGCATGGAGTTCGTTATAGCGTCGGGGACGGGGGGGATTACACGTGGCGTGCTGCGAAAATCTTGTTTTGCGGGCACTTGGGCACGCAACGGCGGTCATTGCGGAAACGATGCCCCCAAAGAGGCTGGAGGCATGTGTTAGGCGCCACAACATGTGGCCAAATCTCCTACAACTCCTTTGGCTCCAACTTCTCAGATGCAACAAACTTTCAGAGTTTTTGCAAAGGTTTTTTTTTTATACACTTGAAAAGGATACAGAAAAAGGCAACATCTGCGACATCACAAATGAAATGTATATATATAATATAAAATTAATATTATGTATGCAAATATATTTAAGTAAATATATATATATACATATACATATATGCTTAATCAGTGCCCACAGCCGATTTCCTTTTGCAATATGTTACTGAAAACTAATTCTGAAACTTGGCATGGATATATATTTTTGCTGTAAAATACATTTGTACGACAGCCGGGATTGAAGTACTTTATCATAAAAGTGCCAGAACAACTTCTTGCGAAGGTTAGGATTTTGTGCAAACAATTTTTTTTATTTGTGAGATATCTAAAAAAAAACTAAACGATCTAAAATAAAGCACTCACATAAATTAAAAAACAATCATTTTCTTATTTTTTTAATAAATTAAGATAGCTAATTTAATTTAAGTGAAGTCTCATTAGAATGGGCGAGCTCTGCATATTAGCTCCAATAAGAATATTAATTTTCTTTTGTCTAAATAACAATATATATCACATATGTATATATCGAGCGCATGTTTAAGCTGCGGCATCCCAACGCAAACTTTTCTTTACCACTTTTAAATAATTATATATATTTATATTTTGTAAGCACTTCCTACTTGAAATGCAAGGAAAAGTACTTTTGCCACCAATAAATTGCTCTAGCATTTAACTGGAAATATTCTTCCCTTTGCTGCCTTTTGCAATCAAATTGCAATTAGCATAGAGTTAATTAATTACATTTTCCCCCAACATGCAGTAATTACAGCACACACGTACACATACACACAAACACACATGTAAGCTCACACGTGCGACGGGAACACGTGTTAAATCAACATGTTGCGCTTTGCAATATATGTTTATACATGTGTCTACGTGTGTGTGTGCGCCAGTATGTGTGTGTATATATGTAAATGTATGAGCTAGTACTTGGGCACACACACACTGAGTGGCCCCCTTATCGTAACCACCCCGTGAATGGCTTTATTTCCCTCTTTTGCTAGTTGAAGCAACTGCCGGAGGTTTAAAGCGCAACTGAGAGTTATTCATTCACCTAAGCCCACACATTCACACACATGCACACACACACATACGTGCGCCTGCACAAATATTTCTTCAACAAGTTTGCAGCGTCTGATTTTTGAATTTCTCGGCTTTTGTCTCTGCAGTTGCTTGGCATTCGCGCTTAGCGTTCTTCACCAGCCCAAAAATAATGTAACAAAACAAACAAATGAACAAACGCAACACACACACACGTAGCACACACGCACACACACTTAGCGCGTCTGCCAACTCATCCCCATTTTCACCCCTGCCCCTTTTATTTTGGCTCTGTGTCAGGCGGTCCGCGTGCTTTTTGTGTTTGTCAAAATAAAAGTTTTATAAAGCAAAAACAGAGGCAAAAACAAGAAGCCAGCTCTCCAGCACTTGCTCTCATTGCCTTTTACTTTCGCTCTCTCTTTCTCTCTCTCTCGTATGCTCGCGCACTCTCTTTCTCTGGCGCGCATACACTGCACAAAATACTGTACCACAGCACTGTGGCGTACGTGCATATTACATGCTTGACCTACCTGACATTTAGACACATCTAAACTCAGAAACTCAAAATTGTTCCCTGCTGAATGAATTTTCCACTCATATATTTTATATTAATTAATTCTTATAAAGATATTGAAAATACATAATAGATAAACGTTTTCCAAAAATTTACCAAACTTGAAAAGAAAGTTCTTCCAACTCCGACTTAGAGTAAGCTTTCATTACATAAGGTAACTAAATTGAACATTTTCAGCTTTCTAGCTGTAACGGCTTGGGCAGTATGCCAATCATCAATCACTCAGTCAGTCAATCAGAATTCAATATTTGAAATTTAAAGACATGGATATTATAAAGATAATCAAGATAAATAGATAAATAGTATAATACATTATGCACGCCTGATAAATACATCAAACGTTCTATATTGATGAAATTAAAATATTTCTATGGCAATTCTGCCCACTGTGCGTATAGCTCGTTATTACGTATCCGCAGCGTGAGCGGAGCACAAAATTGAAAATGCAGAGAGCGAGCGAGCAGGAGTTGCGCTCTTTGCCGCATTTTTTTTTACTGTTTTGCCTGGCCACATTTTCCAGGGGGTATTTCATCTGTGTGCCAATCTCGGGCCACGTTCAGTTTCATCTGAGACGTTTGGCGCAGCGGTCGATAAAAAGTTGAATAAGAAAATTAAATAATCAACTGGCTAAAGCAACGTGAAATGCGTGTCTGGGGACCTAAACAAAATACAAGTTCTATAAAAAACCTACAGATTATTTCAGCCAACTAATTGTTATTGTTATTATTATTAACTGTAGTTAAAATCATATTAATTGACTTTGTGCAAGAATTTTAAATTAGTGTTTGTTAAATTGCCGTCGCTGTTTTATTGTCAATTTCGGTTGGTAAAAACTCTTGACAGGCATTTAAAAAGCGGCTTTGGCCGCGGTTTCAAACTGGGCGAATACCGTAAAATGACACGTGTCCGGCGTATTGTGGTAAGTTTTGTTAAAAAGCTTATATCCAAAGCATTCAAAGCGCCTTAATACACCAATGAAAATACAGAAAAACAAACACATACACAAACATTAAAGCCGCTAAAAGAGCCCTTAAAGCCTGCACGTAGCATTACTTAAATATTTCAGCTAACTACCGAAACCTGCCCCGCACCAAAAAAACGAATTCAAATTCACATATAACGTCTTTGCATGCTAACATTCACGAGTTTTACTATTTTAGTGCTAATTATACCCTGTTCACAAAGCAAAGAAGAGTACATTTGTCCGTCTGCTTAATCTTTAAACCGAGAACATGTTTTTATATTTACCACCTCTACCAGAATATACAAATATATATCTCAGTCAAATACTAACTCCGGTGAATCTATTACAAATAAGTTCCCTAAAAGATTGAGCCAAAAAATAACTTTCGCCCTCAAAAATCTTAATCTTAAATCAATAATTTCTATGTCACAGTTTAAAAGTCAAGGCCTCGGTTTTACAGTTTTTCAGTCACAAATCATAGTCGTCTCTTCAACAACTTCTTTTAGCTACTTTTACACAGTAAACAGTGTATTGTGAAGTCGGTATCACTCGCCTACAGTGTTTTTTACGTGATTTATATTTATTTTATTTTCTATCGAATTTGTGCTGTTTGAAATTTTGGTGGTTTACATTTGCGTACACCCAAATTTCATCAACATTGTGCAGAACATTTGCTTAAATTTCGTATTAAATTATGTTTAAAATGCTAAAAATCAAAAAAAGGTAAAAACAAACAAGGTAGTCCTAATCTATCTTAGCCCAGTCGCTTGTGGGCGCTAGTCCCATTTTTCAGGGACCCCAACTTCAAAAGCGTTTAAATTTAAGCTAAACTCTCACATGCCAAACATGCGTAAATATATTTATCTATCTATTTCAAGCATGCTTATAAAAAAACTACACATATAACAGGTTTGAATGTGTGTATACAAAGGCATTTACAAAATCTGAGAGCAGGGTATAGAAAACATGAAATTCCTTGCGCTCGGCCACCTTTTGCTACTTACAGCGAATTATAGACCCTTGCGGTGGGGTATTATTATTTGGTCAGGCGACTGCTTGCAGCTCATTAAATAAGCTATACATTACTTGTGTCTATTTGTTTCTGTTAAATCAGAAGTTTAGGAGCTATCTCCGTCTTTTTGCTGCAGAAAGTATGTCAGATGATTAGTCTCATATTAAGTGAGATAGATGATCAACAACCTTGGTTTTCTTTTTCTAAAATATCTTTGAAAAAGTCAACAATTATGAGTTTATTGCGCTTTAAACTTCGGTACAAAATCCCATCAGAATCGAACTACTATATCCATAATGTTCCACTTAATTTAGTTTACATTAAATCCTTATTAAAAAATCTGCAAGGGTATTTAATGTTCGCTTTTCCAAAGAAACCGCCTTGCCTTTATTTTTTACGATTATTCCCAAAAAAAAAGGCAACGTTCACGTGACGTATGCGCAATATGAGCCCATGTAAAAGTGTGAGCAAAATGTTTACTGCTCCAAATTGTTGAGGTTAACTTTAAATCCCGACGCCTACAGACAGACGAACAGGCGGACAGCCACACAGACAAAGGAATTGTGCACATATTTTTGCCTTGTGTGAATCAACGTGAAGACGGGGCCATGCTTTATCAGAACACTGAGAAAGTCGGCTCGTCTGTAGCAAAGAAAAAACGCCAAAATCGAGAAAAACTGCGCAATATTTTCCAACAGGTTTTATCTAAGCCTTGAAACTGGCCAAAAAGTTGGCCATTCAGCATGAAATGAACAAACCCTGCACAAAAAACAAGAAAGAAAAACCAAAAAAAATGCAAATGCAGTTGGCTGAACTGCCGGCCAATTTTAATCCATCAGGTATTTCGAAATTTTGCAGGCTTTGGCAGCATGAAAATTGCGCTACAGCAAAAAAAAAAATGGAAAAGGCAACACTAACGCAAGCGATTGAGTGGACAGCTTTTAATAAAGCGGCCAAATATCAAGCATACGCCTTGTTGCAACCGAAAGAATTTTTGGATTGTGCTGCAGCTTTGAACGACAGAGCTAACTGCGAAATTTGCATTGCAACAGAGAGTCGAAAATTTATTAAGAGCAGAATGTAAAATGCGGGAGATATTTGCAAAAGAATTTGAAAAGGTTTTGAAATAGCTCTAAAAGGGGAATCAGACCATGAGTATATATTCTTATAAATGTTCTAACTCTTAGAAAATAAAGGCATTATTAATAAGAAAATATGTAAAGGTATTTCCTCTTTAAGCTATAATTCTGAAAAAAGCCTTTGCTATTTAGCTAACTCCCATTATTTTATTCCTTTTACTATGGAACCTCCTACCCGATCTTAGCAATAACGGTAGGGAATAATGTTATTCGAAATTAAAGTTTTAAATTATAAAGTTATTGAAAGGCATATCTCTGAAATATAATAATAATAATGGTATTCCTTAGAATTCTAGAAGAAGCATATTCCATTGATCTTTCTCAACAATATGGGAATAATGGTACAGAAAAATGGTAATTCTAAATTGAGTTCTAATTCTTTTAAGAGTTTTTCTTAAATATCCGGAATAATGATAAGTTCTATTTTTATTTAAGCTTTTATTCTAGTAAAAGCATATACAATAAAACTTCCTCTCCGATATGGAGAATAATGCTAGATAACAAGGGTATTCCTGACTAATGTTCAAATTTTTTCAAATTACATTTAGTTCAGGGCTTTCTCTCAAACATAGAGAATTATGAGAAGAAAAAATGCAATTCATTGCTTAAGTTATGATTCTAGGAAAAACATTTACTATAGAGCTGTCTTCCTTATTAAGGGATTGTTGGTGAAATATTAACATTCTAACTCTTCGACGCGCATTTGCTAAAGAGCTGTCATTTTTTCAGTTTTAGTTCTCATCCTGTTGGTCGCATACGTTTAATTTACGGGTTGGCACATTAACCTGTTGGCCTGCTGGCCTCGAAGTCTTGGCATTTCAAGCAAACAGGCGAATCAAATTGCAAGTTGCCACTCGAAATGTCCTGCTGGCGTAGCCTGTTTTCATTTTAGGGCGTGTCCTTTATATAGACGCGTCACGTTTATCACAACAAGGCAATAAATTTCATTTGCTTGTCGCTGCTGATCATCTACGGGGAAAAACAACAATAGCAAAAAAAAGTTCTCCAGTCAAAGTTGCACGACTTGAACAAACGCTGTATTTTGATAGCTCCAAGCTGTCTCTCTTAATCCTAAATAAGTTTTGTTTGAATTGTTTTGGTCTTAAATATGATATTCAATTGTGTGTACATACCCAAAATTAAGGTTTTGCCTAGATCAACGCGGCTATAAATTTATATATGGGTATGTAGTTGCTGTCCTTTGACTCTTATGTACATTTGCATAAAATCATTCGGACATTTTTAATGGTTACAGGGTATTAAGACGGGAACAACAAGGTTTTTATTGTCTCTTTATTTTGGGCCGTTTCAAAACTGGTGCCACATCTGCCGACTTGTGTCTAGTTTTTGCCTTTTCAACGCTCAATTGGCATGGAAAATACATAACGAAAATTCTTAAGCAAAGTCAACTTCTTCACCCGTCCACCCGTTCACGCGGCTCCACATGATTTTGCCTGCTTGTGTCGTGGCAAACAACTAAAACAAACATTTTATTTTAGCATTTTGATTGATGGCATAAGCTTGACATTTTTTGCGGCTAGGGGCGTTCACACAGTTTGTTCGCCTTTAATTAAAGTGCGGCACTGCCTTCTGCGTTTGGTGTGTTGTGGGCGTGGCATGCTACTGTTCATCAAGCTGTGCCAAGCTTAATCAGTGCGCCCTGAGCTGTTGTGGCCTGGCACGGCATGGTATGGCGACGCCTTCCAGAGTGCCGCAGGAAACAAAAAAAAAATGTATCTCCAAGTAGGGTGTGAAAATCTGCTCTGCTGCTTGCTTTGGGCGGGGTGTTCTTTCTTTTTTTTCATGATTGCTGGGATTAAACTATGGCAGTGGCATGCAATCATTAGCAAAAGTTCTTCGGGTTGCCTGGCACAAATTTATGAAATATATTTGCGGTTGCTTGAAAGTTCGCCTTGATTAATGACATGCCACGGAAGAACATATTATGTTTTGCTCAAGATTACGGAAACGATTTCTTAAAAGTAGCAAAACCATTTGAAATGCCAATTAGAAGCTCTTCTGGCTAGACACAGTAATATTTTCCCTGACAGCAGCATTTATATCAGATCAACGTTTTGCTACATGCCATTTATAAAATGATCAAATACAAAAATATGATTCTCATTTGCTTACTTATTGTTTTGCCAGAGATTTAAAGCTGAAATAAAGATATATATTCTGGCATGTCTTCAAAAAAAGCTTTAGATAAAGTAAAAAGTTAATGCTTTTTGATGCAATTTGAAGTGTCACATAAAACTATCATAATAAATTTGCGGCATTAAATTTGAATTATCGCGTATACGCGCCATCATCCAAAACAAATTTAACAGCTGAGATTATGCACTTAAAAGTTTGCATTTGCTTGGCGGTCACTTGAAATAAATTCAATCTTAAGAGCTCACCTTTTTCTTATATATATATATGAGGGTTGTCAATGTTGGGTCCAGACCTGACACAGACCATTAGGCAGGTGCCAAGTATTCGCGGCCAACGTGGTTGTTCCTTTTGCTTTTGTTACTTTTGTTGTTGTCACTGTTGTTGTGGTTGTTGTCGCTTGCTGTGGCTGTCGTTATAAAATTGAAGTGCCAAAGCCAGCGGGGTATCAACGCCGCAAAATAACAGCAGCAGCAACAGCAACAGCAACAACAACAACAACTTGAACCGCCTTGTTTGAGCTTATGCTCAGCGACAGACAACAGACAACAGCAAAGGGCAGATGGGGAGGGGGCTGGGGGGAGAGCGTGTCAGTCGCCAGACCAAATTGCTTTTTGCCGACTATAAAGCAGAGCCGTGGTTAGCAGCAG